ATTATTCTTCGTACAAAATAATATTTACATAGGCTTCTGATGATAAAATTAACTGTTACAAGCAAATATACATATATTTATACATCGAGAAAAATTGAGGACGATGCAGTTTTCAAAATATGCATACACTGTAAATACAGCGAACATTTATTATTTTTCATACAAAATAAGAGAATTGTTAACAATAAAATTAAACATCACGAGCAAACATAAATATATCGAGAAAAATCAGGGATGCTTGCGGTTCTATAGTGCTTATGCACATAACCTAAAAAAAAGCTACTATTGGTAAAAGGTTCCCGTACAAATTTGAAACTTTTTCCGAAACCACAATCGCTACTGTTTCACTCTTTGACAACGAAATATAAACCCAAGCAACATCGAAAGCATTATGTATCGGGCGTGCAACAAGGTTTAGGTTAGGTTTGTCAACAATTACGTTCGAGATAATCTTGTTTGATCTATTTTCGCGACGTTCGTAAATGATCGGGTGCGCGCCAAAATCGTACACGCGTCAGGGCCATCTGCGATTTTTATTAACGCGAATTCTTAAACTCTCGAATTCGCCTCCGAGGAGTTACGCTGACCCATTTCACCAATTTATTCACGAAGATACACAAATACATTCGAATTACGAACATTTTAGAATATTAATTACAACAATTGCAACAATGTCGAATGTTACACGGACTGCAAAAATTAATCTGGATAACGAAACTGAAAACAGTGAAGTTAATTATGTATGTACTATGGTAGTTATAGAAGTTAATTGTTATATAGTAGTTTCCATTTAAGTTTCCATTTAAGTTCCATTAAGCTCCATTTAAGTTAACGATTTGCAGTCGTTCTGAGAGATAAATAATGGAAATTTCTCCCTCTCTCAACTATTCTAAAAGTTTCTAACTTCTAGAAGTTGGTATGGAATCACCGCGGATAAAAACGTCTGGTTGGAGGTCTGAATTAATTATCAGTTTCCTGTTTTTGTTCGCTAAACCGTCTAATTTTCTCGACCCAATGACCTTGTTTCTGCGGAGTTGCTAGAAAAACGCGTTGGCTCTTCTATCGGTGTAACATGAACCGTAAACAGTGTTCAATAGGATTACCGGTGTGCGTTTCTGCGGTGCACCGTAGTATCTTTCCAAGTATGTATCTTTCAATTAGCGAGCGTGAATTTGTACAGGGAAACAGGGACAGAAAAGAGGCTCTTGATTAGATAGCTTCGTGACGGGCCGAAATCGAATCAAACGTTGAAATTGAAAGAAAAAAACAGCAACGAGAACTGAGAAACGAACTGGAATTCAAAATGTTTCTGACGATGTGGAGGTGAGACCTCAGAGAACGTGGAACACAAGAGCAAAACAGGAAAACGAGGAAAAAAATGAATATTTGCATCCAGTAGATGCAATTTTGTTTGTTCAATATTATTTACTGAAATGAAATCTCAGTAGGTACTCTTGTACAATAATTAATAACATCAGTGAATAGACGAGCCAGAGATTTATTGTACAGATTCACATTCATTTTTTTTACTAGTACTTTATTCTTAAATGAAAGAAAGTTTTTTATTATGTGATTCTATTGTTAATTTTGTCCTGTAAACTGAAACAAAATTTCATCAATGTTTCAACTTATTTCATTTAGTAACTGAAATAAATTTCTGCTAACCTATACAAAAATATTATTTCATTTGATGACTGAAATAAAATTCTGCTGATCTATACTAGGAATTTTCATAAATATTTAATTATTGCTGGGTTGGCAGTATAAACCTGTAACTAAGAAAGAGCTCAAGTTGGCAATACTGTATATTCATACGTTAAGCTTAAAAGAAAACAAGCCACACGCGTGAAAATTGAAGTTAAAGTTCATTGTTAACAATTTGTGATATACTTTGTTATATTATGTAATAAAAAAATATTATCACATAACCTAAGTTTTAAAGCTACGAGTCTAATTACAGGAATCTACTGAGTGATACTTTGCAATTGCTCTTCGCGTTATGTCGACGTCGTTACTACAGGTTTTGCAGTTCGGACTTCGACGAGTTTCGTGATCGACTAATATACGTGATTGACTAAGTCGCGTAGTTTGATTGTGATGAAACTTACTCACGTTCACTATGACTGAATCTGACAGGCAGCAATACTGAGGAAGAACTGTTAGAAAATAACTCATGAGACGTGTCGAGTGAGTGCTTATATATCTTGGAGGGTGCTTTGTTCAAGCTTGCTTATTGAACTCGACTTTCCCTATCAGGTTGGAGATTTTGATCCTAAACTGCAATGGTATTAAGCCTAATGAAATTACCTAAATTATGGTACAATTTATGGTGAGTAAAAACTTATATTATGGTACTATTTATGGTGGATGCTGTATGTCACTATTGTGTCTAGGTGATGGTTGTGATGGAGCATTTTGTTTCTACTAAAGGTTGTCCTGCCTAGGCTTCACAAGTAGGCTTATTACCATTGTAGTTCAGCATTTCGTGAGATATCGGACTTTAATAAATTGGAAAGATGTTCGTTGGGAATACTTCTTACACGGCACCTTTGTGCCATGTAACATTCACCTTTTTGCATTATAAATTAACTCTTTTGCAGATCATATTCATCTTCTTGCAAATTAAATTCACCTTGTGGGTGATTCAAAAGTGAAGTAACACACTTTATTATTTTTACCATTACACTCTTCAATGAGGAACCCCATTGAAGAAGTTTTTTTCAAAAATTAAATTCTGTGTGAGAAATGTTTTAGTTGACCCTTCAAATTATGAACATTTAATAGATGTTATTAATTATTCTGTTACAACAGCTACTCTCACAGATTATCATAAATATTGTATGAATATGTAT